CTCTTTCGCTGTTTGATTGGCCCTTCGGTCCATAACATCGGCCACGCTCGGACCGAAGCTGGAACGAAGTATAGCGCTAAATTTAGCTCTTCACTCTAAAAAATGTCTGTGCGTCTACTTTCACGCACAATACTCGGAGAGCCAATCAGCGCAACTTACGGAGGCAGCTCAGCAAATGACAATGCCTAAACATATGTTTAGACCAAAAAACGCAGTCTGAGTTGTGACATTAGGCAATGCCAAGCGTCACGCATGCATTGCTTAATATCACAACTCAAACTGCGTTTTCTGGTCTAAACATATGTTTCGGCATCGTCATTCGCTGAGCTGCCTCCGTAAGTTGCGGTGATTGGCTCTCCGAGTATTGTGCGTGAAAGTAGACGTGAAGACTTTTTTTAGAGTGTTGCGTTAGCGCACGCTACGCAAGAGAGTTTTAGAATAGGGTTTCTCCGCTGCGACGGAAAAGGGCAAAAGCCCAAGGATCTCGCCCTTGCAACGCCACCAAGACAGTCAATTTTTATTTCACACACGGAATTCTGTAACTTGAGAAAAAAAAAAAGACGTTTTTTTTTTGGTCCAGAGTAACATTTTAGATTTGTTTAAACATGAGAATGCGATTGCGAGCGGTCGACCGGACGTGTCTGCCTGCGTTCCCTCCGCAAAAGTAAAGGTACTTCAGGCAAGAGAGCGCTCGTTTACTGACCTTCGCAGACTGTATCTTTGCCGTAAAATGTTCGCGCGTCGCAAGCATGAAGTTGCCGGTGATCGTTGCCCACTTTACTGGATTTTCCAAACCGAGTGCAATGTTGTCCCGTATTGAAAATTGCAGTCGCGAGAATGCCGCCGACGTCGCGCTCACGACGCCGCCAAAGCGGCCGCAGCCATGGTCCTGGGAGCCGCCATTTTTGTAACTCTGCTCGTCTTGGCTTTAGCCAACTTCTCATTACGAACCACCTTGGAGGAGAGCAAAGACTTCGCGTACGCACGCAATTTCCGAAAAATAGCGTGCGCTAAAATAGCGCTCGCGAAGCTCAAAACGTGGTTAGCGTTCGGCGCATGCGCAGTCGCGACGACGCTATCCTTTGCGTACGCAAAGCGTTAGCGTGCGCTATTCTAAAACTCCCTATTATTGAGGTGTCTACGAAAAGCGAATTTATTTATTTATTTTTATTTAAAATATTACTAGAAATAAATAAATAAATGCCGCCACTGGGGTATTTCAGAAAATGTCTCAGATTATCTCGAATGTTCCGGCTGGTTGAACAAGTGATTGCACAGCAGATGGATTAGGCACGGGCGTTGAAGGGTTTCAGCAGGTGGAAGTGAGTGTCTGTCTTCTGGCAGCTTGTTCAGACAAGCAACTGCTCAACAGGCCTTTGCCAGCCAAGGGCGTTGGCGGTTCCGAGATGTACTGCATGCTAGGGTCGCGGCGATCTAGGACGATGGATGGATGAATATGGTACGAACTCTTTGTTTCGTGCGCTGGCTTGCGTCACCTAGCGGGGATGATACACAATCGTGACGCCACCTGCACCTGACAGTGTGGCGAAATGCATCGTAGGCAGCGAAGTAATGGCCGTACCATAATCCTGAACGGATGTTAACGTTCTAGTTCACCATGTTGAAAAATCAATTTCACGACACTGCCGATCAGATAAGAGCTACGGGGTGCCCGACTCCGCTCATCGGTTTTTCCTTTCGGCTTACCACCTAGACTTCCAAGGCAACAAAAAACGCTCTACACCCGACAAATTTCTTTATCTCATCGGCAGGAGGACCTCTGAGGACTGTAACAGTTGCAACGTGGAGATCAATAAAACCCATCCTTAGTGAGTGCTCTAACTATCGTGGTGAACACCGGAATGCAAGCCACATTGAACCAAATAGATTCACTGGCCTTCACTGTTTCCGATGTGAACCGGAGCTTGGAACACTATGGACCGATCTACAAATGTATACAAGACTCTGATACTGTTTCTTGCTAGTACTGACTCTGGAGTCTCAATACGCCTTGAACTGCGCGCGCGCGTGTGTCTGTGCAGTGTTGTACGTGTTACTGAAAAAAAATGAAGCAATGGAATACGTCACTCGTTACTTGCAAGTAAAAGAAACGCGTTACAGACCTACATTGCCACAAAATACAAGGAGCGCGTTTCCGTTACCGTTAAAAGTTAGATTATCGTCATTTTGTATTCGAGATTTAAAACGCCTTACTCTTTTGACGTTACAGGTATGCATAGGCGCCATATTTAGAGAAGCACGATGTCCATGCAGAAACTTAACATAATTAGCTCATCTTTTTTACGGTTCCACCTATACATACTCAAAAGGAAAAACACGAAAAAACAACAACAACGAAATATGCAAGATTTTACATAACTTGGCGTTGTTTATAGTTTGGTGATTCTAATCCAATAAGGGACAGTTCGAAAGACCCGGTTTTTAAACGGGCAGAAAAATATTTTGTTTTGAAAATTTGAAGTAATCGGAAATGTAACGGTTGCTGTTAAAAGTAATGGCCAATCACTCTTTTTTCTCTAAGTAATCAAGTTATCTTTACACAACAATGTTCGCCAGTCTGTATCCCCCACCTAGTGTAATGCCGGTAAGGGCCTTTAATGTTTAATGAATGATGATTTTGAGGAATGAAATACTTTTTAACCAAGAGTAATTGTAATTGTAATTGTAATTGTAATCGATTGATTTTTATTTTGTTTGTGAGTAACATGCACCCCGGTGCAGAGTTGCCGGCTAGGACAAACGTCCAGGCTAACCTCTCCGTCTTTCTTACACCAACATCAAGGACATGACGCTACCTCGCACGAGTTCTGAGGAAATCTCATAAACGAGGCAAACATTTCAGCTGGAAACACGCGCTCTTAACACCGATGCGTTCCTGAATGAAAACAATAATCTTAGTTCCGTCCACAAATAATTCAATCCAGCATTTACACGTTCAACCTTAGGTGCTAAATTCTTCTTATTGAATTCATAAAAGTTTGAGCTTTCGTCTGGGAAATCCAAAAAGATTGTTGAAAACACTATATTTTTACGGCCGCAATCATAATGGTAAAATTATGTACTGGAGCATTTCATCAATCTGGATGCTGCGAGACATCAGTATTACTCATAGTAACTTCATCACTGTACAATTACTGAAGTTTAAACACGTGAGCATTGATATATATATGGCCAAAGTTTTTCTATCAACGGCGTTGTACGAGTAGCATCGTCTTTAGCGATGAGCAACAAGAATGATGTCTGCGCTGCCTCTTAGATCTACTTTTGCGAAAAATTGCACTGTATGCAACGGCTTCATGTCCTCGCTTTAATCATAACTGCCAACTTCAAAATTCAGCTCATCCGGTGCATTATGAAATACTCATCTATATATAGGGTTATGCGGTCTCGCTGTTTGTGTCCGAATAGTTTGGAGTTTTTTGTTTTTTTTTTTCTGAAAAAAATGTTTTGCATGTCTTTGACGTCTGGAACGTGTTTGGGGGTCTTTGACGTCTGGAACTTTTCAAGTTATCGCATTACGTTGTTGTTTGTTTGTCTCACTTTGTATAGCATATTAGAAAACATTTAGTCCGTGTTACAGTATGAAAGAAAAACAAAACAAGCACATTTGTTAGGAGACATTGGCCGTTCAACTATGATGTATTACTTTAGCCTCTTTCCACGCGACAGAGTTGCCGCAGCTGGCTCCTCAGGCTCTCGGCATTGCTTGATCGGTTTTCACCCGGTTGTTTTCCGAATACACGAGACTTCTAGCTTGAAATTCTACAAAGAAATTATTATTCGCCTACAGAAGACTTCTATAAAGAGCTCCTCGTCGTTCCTAAAACACAGCCGCCGAAGTACTACATTTGATGACAACCTACACTTGATCGAGGGGATTGGTGAGTGGAACAAATGGCTCATATGATTGCTTGCTATGCACGCAAGATTGAAGGGTAGGTATACATGATTCATGAAGAGTGAAATGCGTTGGCTTTAAATTATATACCAGTTACCTTTTGAAAAAGGAAAGCTTTCCAAAATGAGAATAATTTCAATTGTAAACATTTTCTCCTGAGTTTGTGCATCTGAGGTTTTTTTTCCAGTGTTTTATCCGTAAACACAGGCACTTACACACATCGTTCCATGGAGCACGCATTATGATATCGTATTGGGATTGCTTTTAACATACAAAATATTATTTTGTCTATAGATGGAACTTGTGTAGATATATCGCGTTTCTCGGGTATCCGCAGGTTACGAGAACAAATGTATTTGACGAATATGTAATGTGAGATAGTTGTTTTCGACGTCCTTTTGTTTTACTAACATTGGCGTTGAGTTTTCAATTGTGTGCTATGATAGGATTCAATATATTTGCAAAAGTGTTCTGGCGCTTGTTTCCACTTCGATGATTAGCAGAAAGAGAACCTCGCGGTTAAGTATTTTTCTATAGGTGAACAAGTGCCTTGTTCACCTATAGAAAAATACTTAACCGCGAGGTTCTCTTTCTGCTAATCATCGAAGTGGAAACAAGCGCCAGAACACTTTTGCAAATATATCTCATAAATATCTCATAACTCGATTAAAATGTAATGGAACATTGTTGCTGACGCGGTATTCAAAATATGACGAGTGTAATATTATTCATATTTTATAAACGATACGTCTGTGACAAATTTGACTGCTATGCTTAAGTTCTGGCTCTTTCATTGACGCTGCTGGGGTCAGAGGGCGATAATAAGACGTTGTGGCAACTAGGTACGGCGAAGCTCTTCCGTGCTTCTCCATACCTTGGGGCCAACGAATGCCACCCTTACATATTCCCGAGAAGAAGAATCAGCGCCTTCATTGCCATCAATACTTACGTGCGACGCAATCTGTCGGAAAATTGGTTCCACTCCCTCGCCGATCGAGCGAGCGGGCTACCGTCCCATTTCCAGCCCCCTTCAATTCGCCGATGAGCATAAAACTCACGGCTTCGAGTCGAAGAGGGTAGCCACGTTCCAATCGTTTATTACAGCAAGCGAATTTACACGATGAAGAGAAGTCCCGAAAGTGGAGGCTGTCCGTCGTGGCCGCCATCGATGTGCCGCCGACACGGCGCAGGAGCTCAGTCGATTTTTACGGGAATGAGCACGCAGACCAGGTACTGGTCCTTGTCGTCCAAGAGTTCCCATTTAATGTCGAGCGAGATTGACGGGTACATGGGCTTAATCGGGAAAGAGCCTCGATAGTTGTACTTGCCGGCGGGCTGCACTGGACATGTGACTCCGCTCTGGCAGGCATCCGGCTGGGGTACATCGAAGGGGATCGGGACGTGCTCCAGGACGCCGTAGGCCTTCACTTGAACCGTCGGACTCTTCACGTTCGAGGTGAAGTCGATGATGAGGGAGACGTCGGTGCCTTTTTTCAGGTTGCACGTGTCGGTGTGCTCGCAGCCCGTGACGCTCACGCTGGCGACTTGGCCTACCGACGATCCGCAGTCGGTCCACTTGATGGCCTCGGTGAGTCCGCACAAGGCGGCGAGCAGAAGAGTTCCGGGCAGCAGGTGTCGTGCCATCGCGTCAGTCGTCGTGTGGGGCGGCGAAATCGGCGAGACCTCATCGTGCTTCGGAAGCGCGCCACCCAGGAGGCCCTTATCGCGAGGCGAGGGGAGGGGGCTGGTTATCGGCGTTTGGTCATGAAACCCGAAAGTCACGTGAGCCGGAACAACCGGAAGGACTATGGAGGTGCTGATCCTCCGTAGACCTGCAGCTCTCAAGTTTCGAGCAGCGTTCCGGGTGAGCGAAATCGAATATATTTCAGTGGCGTTTGTGCATCATTAGGCTCTCCCAACTTGCTTGGCACTATAAAAGAGAAACAACAAGCGCAAGAAAATATGAAACGAATACATTCTTATCGTTTTGATAGGATGCTCAAGCCTCGAGCTGTATTTTTGTTGTGTTTATATTATTTTTATTGTTTTGAACACTTTGTCAGAGCGCATAGGGAAACACACACATACGCTTGTATTCGACCGAGACTAGTGCATGGTCGAACGCCACGGCGCCGCTTTTATGGTCGCGTGTTGAGAACGGTATAGAGCCCCGCTTGATGCAAGCATTACGAGGTTACGTTCAGGGAACGTGCTCGCGCCCCTTGTTCGAGGGAGACGGTCCCATGCGAGTCAGTGCAGTCGGAGCAGCTTCCTAAGCTTAGCGACAGCGCTCGACGCCTTATCTGTGACTTATGTCCACGCCATCCACCGTGATACTTGAGGGTCAGTGTGCAACGCGCGTCCTTTGTCTGTGAGATAAGAGGAAGTGACGCTTCGGGAACACGTGATATCCTGGCCGTTGGCACGCGACGAGCCAGACGAGAAAGGTATACGGTTTGACACAGCTCTCGAAATTTGGCGCGACCATTCATGCCAAAATCGGAAGGCGGTGTGATTTAAACGAAACAAGCATCAGGTTTTGATTTGTGGGCCGATAAGCCTAGTAGTGTCACCTACGAAATATGTTGCGGTTTAGTCTGATTGGGTCGTGGAGGAACCATAAGTCTATTTGGGTCTTAGAAGAACCATTTTGTGTGAATCAACCACTCAGGAGAGACAGAGTATGAAGCTCTCACCACAACCGTCCTTGAATGGCGAATTAGTCTCGGAGGAAAGCACACCCAAACAAGTACCTATATTCGGAGTGAACTAATTTGTGCTACTTTGTCAAGGCTAGTGTATAGCTTCCAAAGTGATGCAGCCTCGGTCGGTTGCGAGAGCACGCTCATTCGCCTTGAGTCTTTTTGGCATGCACTCGGGCAGCAAGTTTCGATGGAGTTGGAGCACTGCGGAAGATACGCTAGCGTTCACAAGCTAGCGCCAAATAGTTGACGACGAGTAGAGCCATCAATCATTTCTCAGACACCACAAAAACAGAAATTGTCCTCTGCTAGGTTGCGTATGGGAGTATTCTTACAATTGTCTCTATTGCTTGCGTGTGTGTGCTTCCATACAAGTATGCTTTTCGGCACATACCTGTTGACCGAGTAGCTTTAGGGATTGCATGTCAATTTAAATATCTGCATCATATGTCGTTGATGCGGTGCTAAGGAACGTATTGACCCGAAACTTTTTTTTTTTCTTTTTTTTTTCTGCAACTCATACGTAGGTTTAGCTTTCGTTGGAGTAAAATGCGCATTCATTTCAGTTACTTTGTTTTGTGTTTTTTTCGTTTTAAGCAGCGTGGCCTGGCGATCCTTTTTCTAGCTTTATGTGTCTTTTCCAGCCAAGACTTAGAACAGCAAAATAAATCTAAGCACACGCCCATCAGCCCCAATATGCATACTTAAAAAAACAAAAATTGGTGCGTGTATGTTTATACAGCCTGAAGTTAGTCTGCCTCAACGGGCAATTTGTCTCCCAGCTGTAGATGAGAAATTTAGCCAGTGCAGTACAACGGCTAGCCTGGGGTCTTTAACGTGCACCACGCAGTAGTGATATACGACCGCACGAAGGTACGATGCTTATACAGATCGAAACGGAACCCAGGATTCCTGGGTTCTGCAGCGTCAGCTTTTGCTTCACGTGCTTCGAGCTGGTGTGCGCTAGCCCCCTCGTCCACCGCACTTTTAGTACCCCACGTACTTTTAGTGACACAGGGCACATTTAGCCGCTCCGGTTAGGTGACAACGTTGACCCACAATTGGGTGACGTTGCTCTTTAACGCGTATTCTCGCGACTGTTAACGCTGTGCGTATATAAAATGTATCACCCAGAGATACGAAGTTTCTTCGCAATACCATCAAATAGTACCAACGACCGCGAGACGAAAGCACCAATATGTTATTTTTTGTTTTTGTTTTTGTTTACGGTTGTATATTAAGGAAATCACGCATTATCGGGCGGAGATATCTCCCTTTGTACATCTAGACTGACGCTAAATGTCAACTTCAAGGCTCACTTCTAAGTTGGAACCGCGGTGGGATGCATTAATTGGACGCGGAAAGCTTTCCGGATGTTCTGTGAAGGTTCCTCTGAGAAATGCAAATCGATTTTCACCTTCCACTGTGATGTGGGTGGTTTCTCTGACGGCCGGAATTCGTTTGGGAGAGTTAAACACGAACTGTTTGTTTTTCATCTATCAGAGCGACATCTGTCAGTTGTGGAGTCTCTTGACTCGGTTCGTCCGACTTTACGCTTTCAAACGAACGTAGAGGAACCTAACGCGTTCCGTGATAAAGCTCACGGGGACTGAGAATACGCCAGAGGTATTTAAATAAAGAAGAGAAATCCTGGTCCAGTTTTTGAAAACGTCGGTGTTTCACGCCGTTTTGCGTCTCTTCAGGGGCTTAGGACGACGACACACGGGTTTATTTGACTCGCAAATTGAGCGAAATGATACCGTCATTTACTTATTCGTGGGCCATTGGGTCATGCGGAAAATCGGTTGAGTTCATACGAGTTATCTTGAATTCATTTCGCGGAATGGTTCACAGCGTAGTTATTAGGGTTATATGTCGAAAACCGCAGGGGGGGGGGGGGGGGGGGCTGCGTTAAGGGTACCATTGTAACCGTTGTATGAAATTAGTTCGCACCCGTGATGAACGCTTTCATTATAAAGAAGCGCATCGGTTTGTAGCGATTTCTTTTGATGCGGGTCGTATGGAACTCACTGAGCGACTCCGTCAAATTTTGTCCCACGAGCTGTGTCCCCCCCCCCCCCCCCCCTTACTGGGTCGGAATGAATACAAACACTCTACCGAATTTCGTTCAGCACAGTTTCGAAATGACTTATAAAGCACGTTATTGGAGCTGGAGCTTAAACATCAAGGACTGCTTGAAGCACTTTACTGCAAACAAATGGGGCAGAAACGCCGATAAAGTCGTTTCCCCTGCAATCAGTTCATAGTTCAGAACTCGAAGGAGTGAGGAGAGGATGAAAGGGAAAGGCGAGATAAAGCGATATGCGAGGGCAAGTAGCAGTGAACGTCAGTGTGGCTTGATAGCTGCTATTGCTTAAAGGCGGCAGCCACTGGAAACACTACTCGGCACAGACTATCAAGGGCAGCTGGAGACAAAGCTATCAGGAGACATAGCCGGCCGGGGGCTAGAAGTGCTGAGACAAAGGGTCACCATGGGCGACTGCGCAAAGCAGCGAAAACGGCAGAATGCTTTGAGTGTGTGCGTACTTGGTCGAAACAGCTATACGTCGAGAGGAAACACATGGCAAAGAATGAATGGACCTACGAACCCTTCAAAAATGGACTCCGCCCCAATAGAGCCCGTCGTATTGCACCTTAACACGCTACAATTGCTTTACATGGTTGGTGTAGCGTAGCTGCTTATTTTCGTGTATATAACCAACTTTTTCTTATCATTCCATTTGTCAACTTCGTGTTGGTATTGCTTCACGGTTTGCAGTTGAAAGTCCCAGAATGTTTTTCTTTCGGTAGATGGTCTACGAGACACTAGTCACAATGCTTGATGTTCCTTTGTTCGAGGGATTTTTATTATTTTTTTTTACATCTATTTTTGATGCATACAAATGAACACATTTTTCGCTTCTTCATTGAGCTGTACTATGTTGCACACTTCGGCTAATTTTTTCCAAGATATGAAGCCCCGTCCTTACGTATATCAATGCACGTTTATATACACGTAAACAAACGTGCTGAACGAAACCGCTTGAGGCAGTTGAGACACTTGCATTTTTTAAACAGACTCCTGTCTACACCTGGGCCCTCTTAAGGATAGGCGTCCCTCTGAGTTTTGGAGAGACTTTACCTGTGTGAGAGGAACATCTCTTTGTTTAGAAAGCCAGCAAAAAAAAAAAAAAAGAAACGTTTTTTTTTTTTTTTTTTTTAAGGTGACAAGAACGCAATTCAGGGAGACGTAGTCCGGCGTCGAGCTCCCGGAAAATCATTTATACCTGCGCCGAAAAGAGTCCCAATGAGATAAATCGGTATGATCGATCACGTGCGTTATCGGGACAACTAAAGTGGGCTAGATTACTTATGAAAGGGACGAATGCTATCAACTTTTTCAAGTATGCTGAATGATTCATTCTACGTATCTTGCATAACATTTTGCGAAACACAAATGTGTTGGCACCGCATTTCGGCTTTGTCGACGCTTTATGAAAACAAACCACCGAATCGGAGGTAACAAAAATTCACATATGAACGCGATGAGAACTCCTCTTGTTCAGTCACTCTTGTTGCTTGTCTGTGCCCCATTTTGTTACCGTTTGTTTGCTTGCCTACTGTCGTAACTCGTCGACGCTCTCGCGCTTTTAATTGTCGTGAACCCGCAGCTCTTTGTTCTTTGGGTGTAGCGAGAGTTTGGCCTTTCTAAAGCAGCGCGCTCCTGACAGTTTGCAAAAGTGACTGGATCTTCTTTTTTTTTTTTTTTTTTTTTTACAGCGGAGCGGTTAAGGGTTAGTTTCCCCAGTATCGTGTCCGTCAGCAAACAAATGATGACACAAAACTCTCGACAGCTAACGCCATCTATGAGTGACGGCGGCAGCCAGACAACCGCCTTGCCGGTTGTCTGGAGACTGAAATCCCTATACCAAATCATTTATGGCCTTTATAAAATTAATCGTGATAATTATATAATTTTTTCTAATGGCTATTCCACAAGACAAAAGCATACTTTCTACAAATTCTCAATAATGTATCGCAATATTTGTCTGAAATTTGCCTTTTTTTCAAGAATGGTGGTGGAGTGGAACGGATTCCTAGTGACATGGTTGAACACAAGGCTTTAGACATGTTTATTAACCTGTTTGTATTTTTTCCAAATTTTGTGCAAAGAGTGTTCTTCTGCCCGGTATCGTTCTTTGTGAATTGATACTGTTTTCGATGTATACCCATCTGCAAGAATCTCCTTGCGACATTAGAATTATTACTAAATTAATAAATAAATTAAATATATAATAAAGCATGGTGCTCTTACCGGACCTCCTCCAACTTCACTTAATGAGATAGGTAAGTTCGTGAATTTTAATGTGAAAGGGCCATTACCATCGCCCTTTTGATTAGTGCGAATAATTAAAACTAGAAGCGCTATTTTGTGATCAGTTTTTATGTTTTCGTCAACAGTGAAATGCTATTGTTACCGGTATAACGTAGCTGCATAATATGGTGCTAAAATTAGTTATTAATTAAAGCATGAAATGTTTTTCAACGGAACCCCCGATCCCAAAATTTTGTCCGTCCGTCCGTCCGTACATTTCCAGGGGAAACTGAAATGGTGTTTAGGTCACGTGACGTCAATTGATGTCACGTGACCTGGCGTCACGTGATCTATGCACCAAATAGGTTTCCCCGCACAAAATTCGCGGGGAAATAGATGCCACGTGAACTGACGTCACGCGATCTATACACCAATTCCGTTTCCCAGCTAAATTTAGCGAAATAATTGACGTCACGTGACCTAGCGACACGTGACGGCAATAGTCTCGAAAAATACGCTATTCGATATCCGCTTCGAGAGTGACTCTGATATTCGTACTTCTTTGAATGGTGACCGCAGCGGGTTAGCCCCGGTGAGTGCGCTTTTTATGGAGCAACGGTGCACTGCGGAAAAGAACACCCGCGGAGCTCGCTTCCGCGGGTGTTGCTTCTCCGCAGTGCACCGGTGTTTGGTAAGAAGCGCGCTCAACGGGGCTAACGGGCCGTGATCAACACTTCGAAAGAACAAATATTGCTGTCCCGTTCTTAAGAGGTAAGCCCACTTAGCGGAATGGTGCACGCGCACGCGTGGTGTACGTGAAAAGAAGCGGAAACTCTGCGTATGTTGAAACCTAGACTACATTAAAATTTTCCAAATTTACCTGTGGCTTTTATGCAAAATACATGTTATGAACAGGCGTCCTGACAACCTACGTTCATCATGCTTGATTGAGTGTTTTTATTTCCCCAAATTCTAGATTTAATAAAGGATATCTGAACCATAGCAAGATCTATAAATCCCTCCATTTATGTATAGGTGGGTGTCTTTATAGGTTTAATTTGATGTCAAATGCATCGTTTACTTATAATTTCCACATAGGCAATGAACTT